GACCGTGGTCAACAAATAGGCGAGCTGAAAGAATTAAATCTTAGTGGTGAGTTGACCATCAAGGGACTCCATAATGTAAGAGATTCAGAGGACGCAAGAAGTGCCAACTTAAAGAGGAAGCAGGATCTTTGTGCTTTGATATTGGATTACGGGGATATCAAGACTGACAACTTACTAGATAATGATGAAGAAATTCTTGATGGTCTCCAACCTCATCCAAATCTAAAGAAGTTGAGCATATGGTCGTATCAAGGCTTGAAGTTTCCTAATTGGATGCTAGATTTGGATCTTCAAAATCTGATTGAAATCTCTCTAGTTGGATGTAAGAGATGTGAACATCTTCCACCTCTCGGGAAACTACCCTCCCTCAAGGTTCTTTTTATTGGTGCAATGGATGCTTTTAAGTGTTTCAACAATGACTGCTATGGAGATGGGGAACAATCATTTCCAGCACTGGAAAAGCTCAGTTTCAGTGCAATGCATAGTTTGGAGGAATGGACAACAGTTGATAGAGGAGAAAATTTTCCCCGTTTGCGGGAATTATACATCCGTCAATGTCCCAGGTTGACTGAATTTCCTTGTCTTCCATCACTTGGGAGATTAAGCATAGAAAACAGCAATGAGATGCTATTAAGGTCGGTGATGGATCTCACTTCACTTTCCTGGCTTGAAATATCTAGGTTTGATGGGTTGGAGTTTCTTCCGGATGGACTGCTTCAAAATCACAAGGTTCTTGAGTTCCTATGGATTAGTGGACTACGCAATCTCAAGACTGTGTCACATCAGCTGGATAATCTTTCTGCTCTGAAAGAGTTGACAATTAATTGTTGTAATTCTCTCGAGTATTTACCAGATGGACTCAAAAACCTCAGATCCCTTGAGAGACTCGAGTTACGGGATTGTGACAGCCTTACATCCTTACCGGCGACAGGGTTACAAGGCTTGTCTTCCCTGAGATCATTGAGCATACAGCACTGTAAGAAACTAAGTTGTTTATCTGAAGGAGTAAAACACCTGACTGCTCTCCAGAATTTGGTCATAATTAGTTGTCCAGAGATGACGTCTTTGCCCGAAGACATGCAACATTTAAATGCTCTCCGAGAGCTGATGGTATGGTCTTGTAATGGATTAGTTTCTCTACCGAATTGGCTAGGAAGCCTCATGTCGCTGTCAACATTGGAAATTGGCAATTGGCCCAACTTGATCTCCTTGCCAGATGGGATGCAGTCACTCAAAACACTGTATATTACAGGATGTCCACATTTGGAGAGGCGATGCGAGAAAGAGAAAGGAGAGGACTGGCCAAAGATAGCTCATGTTCGTGAGATTCGGATCAATGGTTGGAAAATACAGTCCTTGATCCCACGCGAGTAAAAATGCATCTGACGGAGCAACCTTGATTGATTCATATGGTTGTGGTTGCCAGCAGCGGCTTGTGGAGCAGGCAGATAAAAATTAACTTTAGAAGGTAAATTTCTGTGACTTCCTTGTTGATGTATTATTTATTTCTCCCTGCAATTGTTCTGCTCTGCTCTTGGGGTCAAGTTATATTATAGCGATCCTAAACTCCTCCAAAGCATTGTAAAATATTTATTTATTTATCTATCATAATTTGACTTCCAAAAAATAATAAATTTCAGTACATTGTTTGTCTTGTATTTGAACAGTAATTCAAATATATATTTGGACAGTCTAAATATATATTTGAACAGTAATTCAAACATTAATAAAAAAATATAAAAAATTTATTTTTAGATTAATAATTTCATAAAAAAAAAATCAAAAAACCAAACTTTAAAATATATATATATTGTTCACCTTATTTCCAAAATTTTCAAAGAAAATTATAAATACAAGTTGCACTTGTTTTCTGTTTCTTTGACTCAAATCTTATTTTTTTTTTTCAAAAATTTAGATAACAAAAATTCTAAACAAACTTGTTTTTGGTGTTTTTAAAATTTTGATAACAAAAAATTGATTTGGAGATGCTAACCAAACATGACCTAAATTTTTGTACCGGGATTAGTTGGACTTGGAGAAACGATCTCAGCTATGTAGTTACAATTTTTTTTTTTTACTTTTTTTTTGGGAGGGGGGCGGAGGGAGGAAGGGGGCTTGAACCCTTGACCTCAAGAAGTAAAACCTTCACAAGGTAAAGAGTATCATTGGATCAAAGATCCATTGGTATATAGTTACAATTAGGTACTCTTGATTGATGCATTTGTGTGTTTGCTCTTCTTTTTTTTTGGTTCATCTTCATCTTCTTTTTCAATTTTTTAGGTAAAATTTGAGTTGGTTACAATTTTCTCAATTTGTTCATTTTTGGCTTCAATTGTTTTTGATCTTATGGTCTTATTTATGAAATAAACTATATTTTTTATTTTTCGGTGAAAGTATTGCATTGATGGAAAAATTGGACATTATAAAGAAACTCAAACATTCCCCATCGTTGGATTTTCATGGACAGACAGTCATTGCTTTTTTGGTTCAGTACTTCTATACTTGAACTTCGATTTTCCCAATGCTCACAAGCTCCATTTTTGTCTGTGTCTTCACTTACCCCTCTGTTGGGTTCTAATGTTTAAGCTGGACCCGAGGAACCTTGGTGCTCAACTAGACTAGTAGCAGCCAGTATGTCCCATGAGGTTGCATATAACCCATTGACTATTTCTAGTACTAGTGTCTCAAATGAACTAGGATTCTGGTTTCCACAAGCAGCTCAAAGGGCTTTCTGGAGTACAATGTTTTTTTGCATTCGTAAAGCCCATCACTATTGTTCTGGGATATGCTTGCAGGAATGAGGAGTTATGCAATGTATTGCTGTAATGGTTCCTCTGTTAGGTCTGTCAATGTATTGCTGTAATGGTTCCTCTGTTAGGTCTGTCTATTCCCTTACAGCTTACAAGCAGTCCTTTCGCATTAGTCATAAAACACTATTCTTGTCCTGAATTTCTTTTGAGGTGCAAACATATACTTCAAACTGGGCTAAATTATCGCAGGTTCCCTAAAGGGATGGACTTGCAGTCGAGGTAATACATGTGTGCACAATTTATCTCTCTTGTTTGATGAGTTAGGTTCAAGAAGTATGTATAGTTCTCTTATAAGTGCCAAGAACTTTAGGAAATGACCATTTTGCAGTCTGAATAATGGAATTGTATTACAACTCATAGCCGAGGAGAATATTTCCAGTAATTTCCTTTACATTTTTTGAAAAAAAATGGTGTTAGAAATAAAGAATTAATTTTAGTTGTTAGAACTTATTTGTCCTTAATTTTTCTTCGAAAAATGACACCTTTAATAGTGATATCTTTTTTGAAACAGAGGTAGCTAGAGCAAGTTGGTGGCAGCATATAGATGTCTATGTAAATCTCGTGGGGTTTTATTTGGCCGGACTTACAGGACCTATTGTCATGGGTTTCATTCTCCATTTGGATGGGATATTAGGAGGATCTACTGTAAAATCATCTCCTCTCATAGCCCGTTTCATAGATTGTCAAAAGAAGGTTCATGATCCTATCTCCCCTCAAACTTTACTACTAACTCTTTTTTTTTTTCTTTTTGGTTTTCCTTCTTTTCCTTTCTAGCAAAAGCTCTGTCTGCCTGCCAAGAATGCCATGGTAACCCCCAAAAAAATAGGAATTTCTGAATCGTTGTCGATATTTTGCAGGCAACCAAGCTACTTGAGGGTAGATCTTCATCATGAAATGCATTGATTGATTGCTTGCTGCTTCATCGTAAATTTGTTGAAAAGTTGTTCAAAAATGCTGTTGCACCTGATACAATTGTGAATCGATCGAATTTATTCTATAAGCATGTCCATTTCCATTTGTATTAACTAGTTGGTGCACACGTGCGTTGCGTTGCACCTAAATTATATTACACCATTTTTATTTGTATTAACTAGTTGATACACACGTGTTGTATGTATGAGAACCATTTTGACTTAAAATATTATTCTAAGCTGTCATNTGTTAATTAGTTGGTGCACACGTGCGTTGTGTTGTACCTGAACTATATTACACCATTTTTATTTGTATTAACTAGTTAATGCACACGCGTGTGTTGTATGTATGAGAACCATTTTGACTTAAAATATCATTCTAAGGTGTCATTGTTATCCAAGTTACAACCATCAGAAGAAATAAATAATTATGTCTGTTGTGTTGGAGATGTCTGACCAAATATAAGCAACTGAGCTCCTTGGTCAATTCCTTCATTCTGAGTGTAATAGATTGAACTATCCTAGCGGCTAGATTATATAATAAATTTAAAATACTAATGACTTATATTAGTAGACTTATATTAGTAGAAATGAGTTCTCGTAAAAAAAAAAAATAACTTTTCCTTGTCCAAAAAAATTGTACATTTAGTATTTAAATAAAAGGGAAAATTTGAGTCACACTTTTTCTATTTTACCATATTTTTAAGGACATTCCCTCTATTATCCAAAACATCACTAACATCCCTTCTAATTTGTATTTAAACATCACTAACACCCCCTATCGTTGAACCACCATTTCTTACAAATTAAAATTTATTTTTTTTACATAATAACAGTGGAGCCAATAAAAATTCAATACAAGTTGATTAAAATTTTATTCAATCCAATTGGCCTAAATTTTAATATCTAAAAAAATTCATAAAATAAAAAGAGTTTCATTGAAGATATGCCTACCTAAAAAGAATGTGAATGAAATTTTTCCTAAAATCTATTATGGACAATTTAGTAAAATTGTATTCTAGTTAAGGTCTTCAATTTGATAGGGAGTGTCAGTGATAATTCAAAAAATAAAAAGATACCCTTGCAAATATGATAAACTAGGAGAAGTGTGATTAAAATTTTCCCTACATAAAATGATTTCAATTGGCCCAAAAAATTACAAGGCATATGAACAAAAAAAATCACACAAACAAGAAATTTTTTATTGAGTAATGCTACATAAATTTAAAAACTAGACTTAAAAATTAGACTTGATAATCTTAACCATTGAATAGGTAGTGAATCTCAATAAATACTGAGACCAACAGTGAAATCAATGGTTGAGATTATCAAGTATAATTTTTAAGTTCATGTAACATTACTCTTTTTTATTTGAATACAAACTGTAGAATGCCTTATATTTGCTCTTCCCAATATAATAAATGCACATCATCTTAAAAACCAGAGTAATTTGTAGATCGATTGTTTGCGGCAGAAGTCCATAAAAAATTGAAAATTCATGTAACAACTTCAATTTGTAGATCCAAAAATGTGGGAGGACAAAGGGTGAAGCCCAATTATTTGATTTTTTTGTCTTAGTTAATTGGACGAAGATAGTTTCAATACAACTTTGATCCATAGCAATTCTGATTTCACAGAAGTAATCCTTTAGGATCACATATCTAGTCTATATCCTAGAATAAGTGGGCAATATTGAAATATGAAGTCAAGCAGAACTATGACTCCTAAAATAGGCAGCTATAGGCCTCCTTTCAATGGTTAGTCCATAGCCATTAGAAGCATACAGCTATCCACATCCTGGTATAAAGCGTAAAAATGATTCAACAAAAATCTTGCGAAATAGCTATTTCCGATTCTCTGAATAGTGCTGCCAATGCCTAGGCAATACCTATCCCTTGTGAGCTTGGCAATGAGTTGATGAAAAATGAAAG